GTGCTTGTACTGCGGAGAAGTGGGTCATGTGTTACGTGATTGTCGCCTCCGCCCGAACAGACCTCAGGCGCCTCTCCCAGGAAATGTGGTGAGTGGTCATCAAACTACTAATTAGTAAATCCTTTCTGATTCCTGTTACCTCGTTCTGCCAAGATTCTTCTATTGTCGTTTCATCCAGGCTAATCTGATGAACCAGTTGGGGATTGAGAAAGAACCGCTGCCCACACCTTTGCGACTGTCAGCCGTGGATGGGGGACCCATTGGATTAGGGAGAGTGACTCATAAAACACGTCTAGTGAAAATGAATGTTAGTGCTCTCCATGTTGAGGATATCTGTTTTTTTCTTACTTGAAACCACTGACTATGCTGTAATTTTAGGTCTCTCCTGGCTGAAGACACATGATCCTAAAATCTCCTGGTCCCGCAAGGAGATCCTGTCATGGTCCCCATATTGTTTTGAAAACTGTTTACAAACCCCTACTATTTGTGCTAACTCCACGTTCGTGGAGAGTCCAGCTGTGCACACGCAGTTTAATATTCCCCCTGAATATGCTGATCTGGCTGAGGTCTTTGACAAGGTTAATGCTACAAAATAGCCCCCTCATAGAGAATATGACTGTTCTGTTGAACTATTAGACAACGAATTACCTCCCAATTCTCATATTTATCCCCTCAATCAGGCAGTGGAGGTTGCCATGGAGGAGTACGTGCAGGAGGCCTTGGATCAAGAATTCATTCGTCCATCCACATATCCGGCAGCTGCAGGGTTCTTTGTGCAGAAGAAAGATGGAGGACTTCGTCCGTGCATAGACTGTGGGGGGTTGAATAACATCACCAAAGCCTATCCTTTCGTGCCAGTTGCTCTGGAGCAGTTACGTGGGGCTAAGGTTTTCACTAAACTTGACTTACGTAGTGCCTACAATTTGATTAGGATTAAAGAAGGTGATGAATGGAAGACTGCGTTTCTCACCACTAGGGGGCACTGTGAGTACCTTGTTATGCCTTTTGGGCTCCGAAACGCCCCCTCAGTGTTCCAATCATTCATTAATGATGTGCTCCGGGATATGTTGGGGAGTTTTGTCATCGCCTATATTGATGACATTTTGATTTACTCACCTGACCTTCCTACCCATGTTAAACAGGTTCGCCAGGTCCTGTCCCGTTTGTCGGATAACCAATTGTTTGTGAAAGGGGAGAAATGTGAATTTCATTTGTCTGAGACCCCTTTCCTAGGCTATGTCATAAGTGCTGATGGTGTTTTCATGGATGATAAAGTGTCTGCAGTGGTTAACTGGCCTGTGACTACTACTGTGAAGGAGCGGCAACGATTTCTTGGTTTTGCTATCTTTTACCGCAGGTTCATCCTCTCACTGCTTTGTTGAAGGGGGGGAGCTAAAAGATTGATGTGGAATAACCAGGCTGAGATTGCTTTTCAGTGCCTTAAGGACACGTTGACCTCAGCTCCCCTGCTAAAACACCCTGATCCCTCTAAACCTTTCATTGTTGAAGTTGATGCTTCTAATGTGGGGGTTGGAGCTGTCCTGTCTCAACACCTTGGTGAACCTGCTGAACTGTATCCTGTTACTTTCCCACAAGTTGTCACCGGCAGAACAGAATTATGGTATAGGAGACCGTGAATTGCTGGCTATGAAATTAGCCTTTGAAGAATGGCGGCATTGGCTGGAGGATGCTCAGCATCCGTTTCTGGTTTTGACTGATCATAAAAACCTTGAATATCTGTGTTCCGTAAAATGACTAAACTCACGACAAGCTTGTTGGTCTCTGTTCTTCTCGAGATTTCAGTTTACCATCACTTATCGTCCGGGTTCACGTAATACAAAAGCTGATGCGTTATCTCGTATCTTTGACAATGAGGGTATAGAGTCTGGTGCACCAGAAACAGTCTTAGAACCCAAACTAATACTCGCGCCTGTTCATTGGGAAACAGATTCGGAAATCGGCGAACATAATAATCGCAATATGCCGCCCTCCTTGTGTCCCAGGGACAAGAAATTCGTGCCCGGTGCATTTCGTGACCGTCTCATTACCTGGGCCCTCTCTTCCCTTACCTCGGGCCACCAGGGAGAAACCCGCACTCACCAGTTGCTGTCGTCGAAATGTTGGTGGGAGAGCATGGTCGCTGATATCCATCGGTTTGTAGCATCGTGTTCGACCTGCTTTCAATGTAACACTTCCTGCACGCTACCTGTTGGCAAACTAATGCCATTACCCATACCTTCTCCTCCCTGGTCTCATATCGCAGTAGATTTTGTCACTGACTTGTCTATATCAGAAGGTTACACTGTTGTTTTGACAATGGTTGACCGATTTTCCAAAGGTGTACACTTCATTCCTTTCTCTCACCTACCTAATGCTCTAGAAACTACTGAATGCCTGTTTAATCATGTATTTCGTCTGTTTGGTATCCCAGAGGATATCGTGTCTGATAGAGGCACTCAGTTCACATCACAAGTTTGGAGAACGTTCATGGAAAGATTAGGAATCTCAGTTAGTTTGACATCTGGTTACCATCCCCAATCTAATGGTCAATGTGAGAGAGCAAACCAGGAACTAGGCAAATTAAGACTTTATTGTCATAACAACCAACATGACTGGCACAGATACTTACCATGGGCAGAGAGAGCTCAGAACTCTCTCACTAGTTCCACTACTAATCTGACTCCGTTCCAGTGTATGTATGGTTATCAGCCCCCTCTTATGCCATGGACAGCCACTCCCTCTGAAGTTCCTGCTGTTGAGTCCTGGATGTCTTGCAGTGAACAGGCATGGGAGGAGACCCATCAGCGGATCGAAGCGGTACTCCGGAGACAGAAACGGCAAGCTGATCGGCGACGTGGTGACACCCCTTCCTACTCCTACTCCCAGTAGAATAACCAGTACAGTTTTTATGAAGACCCAAATAGTTAATTTAAACCAAATATTCTACAGAATGCAGATGTAATACTTATACATGCAGATCAGAGCAACTCTAAGTGACAGGAATTGAAGAATGGAATGGAGACATAGTGCCATTGTAATCTGAATGATATTGATCTCGAAGTACCAAAAACTTATCAAAAAATACATGACATTATTGATCCTATCCACCGATTTTTCAAACATTCTGCATAATTAAACCAAAAAATGTAAACAAAGCTGTACAGAATGCCTTAAAGTTAAATTTCCTCATTTTAGAGAAACTTACAGAGTCAGATTTTCATAGTGTAAGTTTATACCGTTCAACATGGCGGAGCAGAAACTGGAATGCAGAGGAGACGAAGTTTATGCTCTGATCTTTAAAAGATGGCAGTGGGATGGATGTCCAGCTTATGTGTCTCAGAACACGACGTCTTCCTCTCGGCCTTCTTTAATAAGGACATGTGAAGGACGTTTTCCTGAGTCTGACATTGTTTTAAAGCAATTAAAAACACAAGCACTGCTCACTGCTGCTCGTCTCACTCTGACTGGACTCACGTGATGCTCGTTGTCATGGTAACGTCTACACTAAGCGGTTCTCTACGCATGTGCATCATTTTGGATCGGATTACTTGTAGTGAGCATGTAAACATGTAGTGCACATGAGATTTTAATCAGATTGTTGAGTAGAGTGAGAATTTAAACACCTCAGTCTTCATCTATAATCGGAATGTATTTAATAAGATTGGCAAAAATCTTTGCATGTAAACACAGCCAATGTAGAAAGAGCACAGTTGTTGCTAATGTGGTAGTTTCCTACTCAGGGGCGAAGCCACAGATATCACAGGCCTACCAAATCAGAAATAAGAATTAAGAATTGAGGAGTGAAAGTTGTATTATGTTTCCTCTTCATAGCATACCAACAGCATGAGGAAGTTTGGTGTTAGCTTGCTAATTGATGGCATGTAACATAATTATGAAACCATCATGCGTTAGGCTGTATTGCGTTTGGTTAATTGTACATACCTTCCTGTTTGATGGGGTTTAGTAGAGACAGATTTTTATAACGTACACTTGCTGAGCACTTCATTAGATACCTTGTTTCTACACTCACTGTCCGTTTTATCAGTTCCACTGACCGTATAGTTTCACTCTGTAGTTCTGCAGTTACAGACTGTAGTTCATCTGTTTCTCTGCATACTCTGTTACTCTTTTCTTCAATGGTCAGGACCCCCACAGAGCAGGTACTATTTGGGTGGTGGGTCATTCTCAGCACTGCAGTAACACTGATGTGGTGGGTGTGTTGCGCTGGTGCGAGTTTTTAAACACTGTTTTCCCATCATTATCATTCCATATAAACACACTAATGTAGGTTCATCGGTGGTTTTCTATAGTAAATAAAATGTCTATATTGGTGACCCCTGGTTCCTTTCACCACCACTGTAAAGAAATCTGAACCATTTCACACCAAACCACTCTGAAACACTCTGTTTACAGTCTCAATGATTGAATGGCATTACCTTTAAAAAACACAGTTTATTGTTTTCACGGTGTTTTAATAAAGCATAAGATATCATGATAGTAATTGCGAGTGCACATTATTCTACAACATTTGTCAGACCATTTTCTACCTAGATTTATAGGGAGAATAACCACAATGCTCAAAACAACAACTGTAATGTTTTAATGAAAGGTTTTAATCATTTTCAGTTAAGAAACGAATGTCGTCTCAGTGTTACAGCCAGGCTCAGACATTGGCTGCTATTCACAAAGCAAGAGATCTCAGAGCTAAGAGCCCATCAGCAGTTTCGTGTAAATGTTGATTGTCATCTGTGACACTGAGAGAATTCAGTCCATTATAATGCAGATATGACTGTCATATAAAACTTAATTATACCCTTAGATGCATATCATTATGGACCAAACTTTTATGAGGTGAATCTTCACAAAAGAATATCTGTCTCCTCACCAAACAAAACACATACCTGTATGTAAAGTCCCAAATAGCTCATTATATATGGGTAAACACCTGCTATATATTTTTGATTCGCTGCGTTGCCTTGTCACTTTGACACAGCGCAAGCATGCATGACAAGGAGATGCAGAAGGAGCTCAGGTAGGCTTCTGTTTCAGTCTTTGCTTGTGTTGATTTTGCCATAACTTGTTTAATGATGATCAAAAGCCGCATCTTGCGTTGTCAGAAGTTATGTAATTTTTAAAAAATCTATTTGTTTATTAGGTAATGTAGAACAGTGTTGTGAATTGTATATTTCATAAATATAATCATAAACAGAAATCTCACCTTTTTTTCAAAATGTTTGCATAACTAAGTTATGGAGATGTAAACAATATAATTCAGAGTGGTTTGGTGTGAAATGGTTCAGATTTCTTTACAGTGGTGGTGATAGGAACCAGGGGTCATCATGACTACAACACAAATATAGACATTTTATTTGCTATGAAAACCACCAGTGAACCTAAACTTCTCTTCTGAGTGTTTATATGTAAAGTTGATGATGGTAAATCTGGAAAAAAAAGTTTTTTAAGAACTAGTTTCTCCGAATGATCCTTCACAAAGAATGGAGTTTTATCATAAAAACAATGTTATCAGGCAATGTATTCATAACCATTTTATGTAATAGCTTTCTGTAAGGGAGCTTTTAGAGGTGGACATCTGGTTCCTATCACCTCCACTGTGAACAATTCTGACTGTAAGTTTCTCTGGAACGGAGCATTTCACACAAAACCACTCTGAACGACTCTTTTTGCGTTGTTGCCTTTTAATGATGCAGAAATCTTGAAAACATTTGGTGGATTTCCCACTTAAACATAGATGTGGCTAGACTACAGTTTAAAACGGTTAAGAACTCCGTGTGGTGTCTTGTAGGCGCAGGCAAGCCTGGGATGTTGCTAAGGAGGTGCCCATCATTCAGGATGAGCAGAAAGTTCGGAAGAGCTTGAGTATCATCCAGTTCGTCACCTGTACCTTTGTAGGAATCTTAGTATTTGCACTGGCCTTCTTCAGCAAAGTGAGTCTTTAAGCATGTTTATGATAATGCTGACCACATGTTAAAGTCACCGATCAGTGATAACATTATGTCCACCTCCTTGTTTCTACACTCAGGACCCCCACAGAGCAGGTCAAATTTGGGTGATGGGTCATTCTCAGCACTGCAGTAACACTGACGTGGTGGTGGTGTGTTAGTGTGTGTTGTGCTGGTATGAGTGGATCAGACACAGCAGTGCTGCTGGAGTTTTTAAACACTGTCCACTCACTGTCCACTCTACTAGACACTCCTACCTTTTCAGTCCACCTTGTGATGTGAAGTCAGAGACAATAGCTCATCTGCTGCTGTACAGTTTGTGTTGGTCATCCTCTAGTCCTTAATCAGTGGTCACAGGACACTGTTGGCTGGATATTTTTGGTTGGTGGACTATTCTCAGTCCAGCACTGACACTGAGGTGTTTAAAAACTCCAGTTGTACTGCTGTGTTTGATCCACTTGTACCAGCACAACACACGCTAACACACCACCACCACATCAGTGTCACTGCAGTGCTGAGAATGATCCACCACCCAAATAATACCTGCCCTGTGGTGGTCCTGACCACTGAAGAACAGGGTAACAAAGTATGCAGAGAAACAGATGGACTACAGTCTGTAATTGTAGAACTACTGAGTGAAACTTTATGGTTAGTGGAGCTGATAAAGTGGACAGTGAGTGTAGAAATAAGGAGGTGATTTTAATGTTATGGCTCACTGTAGTATATGCATTGCTTAAAGGACTATACCAATGGTAATATGTATCTTTACATTTATTTATCATTTCTCATCTCTCTGATTATAGACATCCCTGTTGTTACTAATAAGCCTCTCCAACAAAGCCTCAAAAACCATAAACAACAAACCATATGCCCTGCTTTTCATCGGGTGCCTTTTAATTGCTCCAAGTGTTTTAACACTGATGAAGAGCGTATGGAAGATTACGTTTAAGGACTCAAAAACGGCATCGAAACAAACTCTCATATGGGTGAGTAGCAAATTTTTTCAGCAGGAGTGAGTTATTTTAAGTTGGTGCACCCATCTAAGAGCTGGTCCTATGGATGGGAGACCGTCAGTTAGATCCCAGTGATCCCGCAGCCAACCGTGGCTGGGAGACCAAAAGAGCATAATTAGCCTCGCTCCGTCTAGATGAGTAGCATGCTGAGTCAACGCTTTCCTCCTGTTTATTTTATTTTTACAGCTTCTTATTATTTAATATGATTATTAATATCATTATCACTGCTTTTGAAAAAAAAAACTTGCATCTCCACAATGCTAACTTTGCAGGAGAAGGACAAAACATACTTTACTTTTGATGCAAGTCAATGGAACCAGACGTTTTTCCAAGTTATTTTGTGCCATTTATTTTGGTCCATTCAGCATGAAATTTACACAAAATGTAAAGGATAATAAACATTTTTTAATTATGTCAGAACCTGCAAAATGCTAAAAATGGAGATAGAAGGTTTTGTTCTGACAGCAGTGATACATTTGTGTGAAGTTGCACAGAACTAGCACATTAGAATCATGTACTACGCATACACACCCATCACACTCGGGACTCTGCAGTAAACATTGACCACTAACATTCATTTATACCACCTCCTGCTCAGTTGCACAGCATTATGTTGCTCTTTCACTTTGCACATTTTGCACATTGCACTTTACTTCCAACAATGCCATGTGTACATTGCACATTTCATATCTTCATTGTGTTTATAGTGTATATTTCATAGATGGATATTTTGTTGGATATATTTTCTGTGATATTGTTCTTCTATTTGACTACTGTTCTTATTACCTTATTGCTTTATGTGAGCGGGCAGTTATCCAAGCATTTTACTGTTGGTTGTTCCGTGTATGACTATGTATGTGACAAATAAAACTTTGAAACTTGTTACACACGTATATGCCACTATACTGATTTTTTATTTTTGGCATCAATGCCAAACTTGGGTAACTACTGAGTGAAACTGGCAATGATTACATAGTCTCAGTTGCCTGTTTGGCAAGTGGTCCATGTTTCTAATTACTTATCCCTGTGTCTGACCTTCTCTCTGCAGGTTGTCTTGGTGGAATCTTTGGTTGCTCTGGGCTCAGCTGTCCTCACCCTGGTCTGCATGCCGAATTTCGACATTCTGACTAACGTGATGCTTCTGAGCGGCATTGCCACATCATCGGCTGTCCTGCAGGTGGTTGCAAATATGGTTGCGCATGGAAGGAGGCAATTTATAGGAACCTCTTCGCTCTCTGTAGTCCTCCTGATCGCCGGCTTCACCTTCTTCGCCGTAAACTACCTTAGAGAGGGGAGCAGAAGGCAGGAGATGGCTCTGTTTGTGGGGTTGGCAATAGGAAGCACTTTCCTGGTCTCTCTGAGCTGGTGGGAGAACTACGCCATGCTTTTCCAGATTACCTTCTTCAAGAACACCATCCGGGACATCAAAAGGTCACGGAATCTGGTCGGCATCGTGTCCAGTGTGGTGCGAATTGCCGTGATCTCCAGCGTCCTGGGAGCATTTGTGAAGCTCTCAAAACAGGAATGGTCATCAGTCCTGTTGATCGATTCATCCACCAAGACTGTGGTCCTGAGTCTCTTCGCAATCCAGGTCCTGTCGTCAGCCCTGTGCCGCTGGGTGGCTGTGTTGGCCTGCAAAATGCACGCGGTCCGCCGCAGTTTCGTCCTTCCACTGATCTTTGTATCTCCGGCTGCCCTGGCTGCCTTCATTCTGGCCGTCTGGATACCCTATCTGCAGTTTAATGATGGTGATCCTTCCAATGGCACATTTGCCGAATACTGTAGCGTCTTTGTTCAGGTCAACGGATCAGGGCTAGGCATCATGAAGCAGATGGTGACAGATTTGACCCTCAGAGTCTGCGGCCAGACTGTCTACTCGGAGGGATCGGTGGTGGGCTACGCTCTGCTGGGCAGCTCCTTGGTCAGCTGGTGGGTTGGACTGGTGCTCTGCACACTCTACATCTGGTTCCTGGGCACGAATCGCATTGAGAGGACAAAAGATCTGTTTGTGCGCAGCCTGTACGAGGCAGCGTTCATTGACCAGTCTATGCTGCTCAACACCAGGTTTGAGGTGGTGCACCAACTAAGGCATAACAGGTACTGTATTTAGGCCGTGTTCACATTACCGGGTTGAAGTGGAAGAAATCCTATTTTTTGCCCTAATGTGACTCAGATCTGATCTTTTCAAATCTGACCTGAGCCACTTTCATATGTGGTCCTAGATCGGACACGTATCTAGTATGTGAGCAAAATATCGGATTCGAGCAATGAGGCTTGTAATATGAACGTAGCCTTAGATGTGGGTGCCTAAAAGCTGAATTATATTTCTGCATTTGTGCAGACGTAATTTTAACTTGAATACATATCGCGTTTAACCCGAATGTACAAAAATCGAAGCAAAAACTTAGAAAGAGAAGCTCTGAAAGTTGCTCAGTCATGGAATTATAGGTGATGATTAATTGCCAAATATATAATATATAACATAAACAGACCTACTGTTCTGAAATACTTTGGGCATGTAAATGATATGGCAGTGGGTCTGTGTCATATTTGTATATTGATGTTCTTAATTATGTATCGCACTTTGGTAAAATGTTTTAAATGTGCTTTATAAATAAATTTGCTGACATTATTTATTTATGGCCTTGTCTTTTCAACAGTAAAGAGAAGGAGAAGATGGCCATCTACCTCTGCGCAACCATGTGGCATGAGACCTATGACGAAATGATGAAGATGATCATCTCGATGTTCCGGTAATAATAACACAGGGGAGATTGTTGTTGTGTTCAAAACACAAAGAACCAGAGGTCAGAGGTTTTCTTTGTCTTCCAGGCTGGATAAATTTAGACCGAAGAAAAACCAATTCAGTGATGTTGCCTTCGAGTCTCATATCTACTTCGACGATGCCTTCAAACAAAAAGATGGCGAGCGGCACGTAAACGAGTATGCAGAGACTCTGGCGGAGGTCATCAGAGAGGTTTATATGTAAGTGCTCAGGACATTATGTAGATGTCTTAAAGTGTACAACCAAATGGTTCCGTCAAAGAATAGGTTGGTTTGAAATGCCTATATGGTTATAGATAAACCTGACTTGGATTTCTGTGCAGTGGTGATGAGATCATGAGATCAGGATATCTGTAACACAAATATGGTCTTTTTATTTATCATCAAGAACCACCAGTGAACCCAGAGAGTTTTTGGTGTATTTTTTGTTTATACAGGATGGCAAAATCTTGAAAATATAAGTTTTCTTTGTGGACTATTTTTCCTCAAACACAACGTTCACTCTCTTCCATGAACAGATTTAAAAAATAAAAACATTTTAGGCCCAAACCTGTAAAAACTCTAATCTCAAAACTATCATAAAGCAATCAGGCAACATGTTTATGACCATTTTCATCTAATAATTTTCTGACTCGGTAAGTTTCTCTAGAACGGAGCATTTCCCACCAAACCACTCTGAATGGCTGTTTACATCTTAACCTTTTAATTATGCAGAAATACTGATTTTTTTTTAACATACCAGCAAAATGTCACATATGCCAATGTGGCCTGGATGGATACTTAATTAAATTTTCCAATAAATAAATAAGTAAATAAATAAATAGCAGTAATCCCCTGAAATCAAGACTTAAATTTAAATATAAGGCTGCATGTCATTAAACATAAACAGATTTTTTGGAAGGAATTATAATGTGCTGCTATTGCATAGGAAGTAACGATAAATCATAGACCTTTATTTTAGAGTAGCATTACATTTATGTTTTTTTTATTTTTAATAGTAATGTGGTATCACAGTGCTCGGTACAATACTTGATACAAAATAATATGCAAATAAGAGCAAGTAACATGCAAATAAGAGCAAGTAAAATGCAAATAAAACCAAGTAAAATTCAGTGTTATACCTGGTGTTAGCTCATTTAAAATTTAAATTCAAATAAAGAATTGAAAGTATGTAAAGTTGCAGGGCAGCTCTTGAGCAGTAAACAGTGCTGCATGTGCTACCTGTAACAGTTTTACTTTGTGTGCTCAGGACATTATGTACATGCCTTAAAGTGTACAACCAAATGGTTCAGTGGCAGGAATAGATCAACGCATGAGTTATAATAGAATTAAAGGGATACACCCCATTCTGGAATTTGAAAGAGAGATTTCATTGTTAAAGGGAAATTCCACCAATTTTTCAAAACTTTTGCAAAATGTAAAACAAGTCAAAGAATAGGTTGGTTAGAAATGCTTGGTTATAGATAAACCTGACTTGGATTTCTGTGCAGTGGTGATGAGATCATGAGATCAGGATGTCTGTAACACAAATATGGTCTTTTTATTTATCATCCAGAACCACCAGTGAACCCAGTGACTTTTTGGTATATTTTTTGTTTATATAGGATGGCAAAATCTGAAAATATAAGTTTTCTTTGGGGACTATTTTTCCTCAAACACAACGTTCACTCTCTTCCTTGAACAGATTTAAAAAAATAAAAACATTTTAGGCCCAAACCTGTAAAAACTCTAATCTCAAAACGGTCATAAAGCAGTCAGGCAACATGTTTATGACCATTTTCATCTAATAATTTTCTGACACTGTAAGTTTCTCTAGAACAGAGCATTTCCCACCAAACCACTCTGAACGACTCTGTTTGCATTGTTGCCTTTTAATGATGCAGAAATCTTGAAAACATTTGGTGGATTTCCCACTTAAACATAGATGTGGCTAGACTAATTTTCTGACTCGGTAAGTTTCTCTAGAACGGAGCATTTCCCACCAAACCACTCTGAATGGCTGTTTACATCTTAACCTTTTAATTATGCAGAAATACTGATTTTTTTTTAACATACCAGCAAAACGTCACATATGCCAACGTGGCTTGGATGGATACTTAATTAAATTTTCCAATAAATAAATAAGTAAATAAATAAATAGCAGTAATCCCCTGAAATCAAGACTTAAATGTAAATAAATTTAAATTTAAATAAATTTAAAGGCTGCATGTCATTAAACATAAACAGATTTTTTGGAAGGAATTATAATGTACTGCTGTTGTATAGGAAACAATGATAAATCATAGACCTTTTATTTTAGAGTAGCATTACAATTATACTGTTTTTTTATTTTTAATAGTAATGTGGTATCACAGTGCTCGATACAATACTTGATACAAAATAATATGCAAATAAGAGCAAGTAAAATGCAAATAAAACCAAGTAAAATTCAGTGTTATACCTGGTGTTAGCTCATTTAAAATTTAAATTTAAATGAAGAACTGAAAGTATGTAAAGTTGCAGGGCAGCTCTTGAGCAGTAAACAGTGCTGCATGTGCTACCTGTAACAGTTTTACTTTGTGTCCACATACAGCATATTCAGTGACGAGGGCAAAGGCAGTTTCAGGGAGAGAAAACCTCTCCCTGAGCAGAAGCTCATCCAGACGCCGTACGGCTGTCGCCTGCAGTACACGCTTCCCCATGGGAACACGCTGATTGTTCATTTTAAGGATAAGCACCGAATTCGCCACAAAAAGAGATGGTCTCAGGTGAGCTCATGTAGTTGCCTTCGCCAACACTGAACACTAGGGGCAGTACAGTCACTAAAGATCCTAAAGACCTGCATTACTGTGAAAAAGTCTTAGGCCACTCAGGTGAGACCACCTACGAGTGTTAGGTCACCAGGAGCAGGGCTGCGTACTGTTGCTAACAAAAATCAGCTTGATTATAGATGTTAAAAGAGACGCTTTAAAAAAAAAAGATGGTTCTTCAAGGGTTCTTTAGTAAAGGCAGTGGTTCTATGTAGAACCTTACAGAACACATTCTCCATCAATCTGAAGAATGATTTCACCATACTACATGCCATTTAAGCATGAAATGGTTCTATACAGAACTCATGGTTCTAAACAGTGAGCGTCCTACAGCGGTCATCTCTGGAGCGAGATTTACTGGTATTGAGATTTCTGATGATGTATTTTGAAGGTGGGTGGAAACTACAGCTGTTTTGGGTTGGATTTTAATGGGTGGGCTGATTTTTGTTTATTTATTTATTTATTTATTCCACAAGCTATCAGTTCCAAAAGGAAAAGTCAGCTAGCTGACATTACTGTTACCAGCTGAAAGCTAATGTTAGCAAGCGATCTAGATACCTTCACTCAGTTTGGCTTGTTTTCCATGAAAGGGTAAAACAAAAAAATTGCCTTTGGCATAAATTTAGTTTGCCAAAAGATGCAATAAGAGTGGCTAGCAGTCAAGATAATTCTAATAATGTTTCTATGATATATTTCCAAAATGCATGCTGGGTATTGTAGTGAGAGAACGTTGCTGAAGAACAACATAAAAGTGATACAAAATCGTGAATTGAGCCGATGAGGCTGAGGGATGTGAAGATGAGCTACAGAATACTGCATAACACACCACATAGTTTTAAAGCCCCTTTAAGTCTTTTTTTTGTCATGACGTTTCCTTATAGGCGTTTGATTTACACTCTGGTTTTCCCCCTACAGATTATGTACCTGTACTACCTGCTAGGATGGAAACTGAATAGGCCACACTTTCAGATGTATGAGGAAGGGGAGGAGGAATTAGCAAGCGTTGTACAGCGCCTGAGGGTACGGGCAGCTTTACTTCAGGAAATCGGCGCACAGTGCACATCACTGCATAAATCACTTTCATAAGCCTGAACTTTGTGACTGATTGTGCTAGATCTTTATGTCTTCTGTCCAGAAAGCCAAAGAGAACACCTACATTCTGGCACTAGATGGCGACACTGATTTCCAGCCTTCTGCTGTCATGCTCCTGGTGGACCGACTCAGGATGTACCCGGAGGTGGGCGCCGCCTCTGGCAGGATTCACCCCACTGGCACTGGTAAGAGACATACTGTGTTAAGCATGAGCAACCATATAAACTTTTTAAGACTGTACAAAGGTCTCATGCCACACTTGCTACTTTAAGCTGCACTTAATGCCGACACAGGCATTCAATTATAATTGAACAGCCTGTAGTCTCCATAGAAAAGCGTTGCCAGCTGGATGCTCTGGAGCAGCCACACACGAACTTAAGGTCAGAGCTGGTTTATGAGGAGCCTGGTCTCTTCCTATTTCCCCCGTTATATCAAAAACAGGACTGCTGAACAGCAGAGGGCGCCCGCGAGGGAGTCCTCAATGAATGGGAGTCCTCAATGAATGGGAGTAAATGGAGCTAAACAGCTAAAAACGATCTAATCACTCGCCCAGAACTTTCCTTTAATTGTAGGAAGTAGATGGATGTATTTCACTAAAAAGCGAAGAAAACATACCGGTTTGTTTCCTTTTTTCTACATGAAACGTATTTCAAGCAGCAGGGCACTAACATTGCTGCTACTGAGTGCTGATTGGTTGGCGAGCGGAGCAGCTCATTGGCTGTTTGCGCTCACCGACATCATGGACGTACATGAGGCGCTGTTTTAAACTCCTTTAACTTGAGTTTAAAAGCTCTTAAAAATATAACAGTGGTGTTAAAATGTTTTATGCTGTTCTGTGTTCAGGAAACGAATGTAGTCTTTTACATTAAAAATGTTTAATCATTTATAAACTATGATTTTGTTCATATACTATATTAAACCATTCATTTTGGACTCGCTTGGGAGCGCCCTCTAGCGTTTGAGAAACCCTGAAGACATTACAGAGTGGTAATTCTCCTCTCTACAAGTTCTCTGCCTAAGGTCACAATGCTCACTGCCAAGCGTGACCTAGAGGGGCATAAAGCCCCCCAGCTTTGGTCTGTGGAGCTGCATTCTCTGGAGTGATGGAGCTCCATCCAGTACCTTTGGGATGAGTTGGAGTGATCCAGAACTGACCATCCAACATCAGTACCTGACCTCACTAATGCTCAATCAAATCCTCACAGCAATGCAGCAATGTCCTCCTATATCTAAGCCTTCTCAGAAGAGCTGTTACTGCAGCAAATGAGGCATAAAGTTAGCTTAACCCTTAGCAAATATCATCTTGAGGCAGCCCAGTCTTTGTAGCTGCCGTCCGGTACCTGGTTCAGCTAATCAGTCCTTTGTTAAATTAAATCAGGTGTGCTGGATGGAATTTAACAAATCCATGCAATGGCTGGAATGCATTGAGTAGAAGGGGAAGCAAAGCTGTTCTTCTGACTACCTAAGTTCTTTATACTGACTGTGCTTGGTGTAGTGTAGTGGATAATGCCGCTGCCATCCACAGAGCAGACTGGGGATAGATTGGCCACACAATGCTATACCAATAAGAGTCCTTGGGCAAGACTCCCAAAGCCCCCATCTGTAACGTGACGACACTGTGCGTCGCTCTGGGTAAGTGTGCATAAATACACAGTCGAGTCATATTATTATGACCCCCAGCTAATATCCAGAGTAACCGCCGTGTGCAGCACGGACAGCAGCTAGACGGGCTGGGTGTGACTCAATAAGGTCCTGGTAGGTTGTCACATGGAGCCATGCTGACTACAGTGTATCCCACAGCTGCTGGAGGGGGCGTGGGGGAGGATCCATGAATGATCGAGGTGGTCCCACAGATGCTCAATTTGGTTCAAGTCTGGGGAATTAGGGGGCCAGGGTAGTACTCTGAAGTCTTGATCATGCTCTTCCCACCAATGTCGGACATTTTTAACCATGTGACGTGTCGCATTGTCTTGCTGGAAGATCCCATCTGCCCCAGGGAAGACGATCAACATGTATGGGTGTACATGATCTGCAAGGATGGATTCAGAGTCCCTTCCACATGGATGAGTGGGCCCAGAGAATACCACAAAAACATTCCCCAGACCAGAATGCTGCCACACCACCTTGTGGACATGAAGTGGTCATTATAATGTGACTCGACTGTGTATAAATGTAATACTTGTTTTACTCGTGCTGCAGGGCCGATGGTGTGGTATCAGAAGTTCGAGTATGCTGTCGGTCACTGGCTCCAGAAGACGGCGGAGCACGTGTTCGGGTGTGTGCTGTGCAGTCCCGGCTGCTTCAGCCTGTTCCGGGCTGCAGCGCTCATGGATGACAACGTGATGAAGAGATACACAACCAAACCGACTGAGGCTGCACACTACGTACAGTATGACCAGGGTAAGCATGGAAGCTTACCTGCGTAAACCTTTTGAGCAGGTAGTGTTGGTGCAGGTAGTCTTGTAGTGTATACTGTAATAATATTTATTAGTATTTTATAATTTTTATGGGTATTTTATTTAGTATCTCATTCAGTTGCAAATTTAAGAAGGCTAACATAATTTTTGCTCAAAACACACCCCTGAATCTTACATCCAAAGATATTATGCATTTTCATGTAATATTTAAGTTTAATTACATTATTAAACAAGCAATTATGTAAGTAGTTACACAAAAAAATTACATTTACGTTTGATTTACATTCAGTATAAACAGGTTTGAGTTTGTACTTCCAATTTTTTTTGTTTTTCTCGTCCGAAAAAAACAACAAAATGTGGCAAAAATGTAAAGGATGCATAACTTTTCATCCTGTTAAAATCATAGTTCAATATCTCCTCTTATACTGAGTGCGGTCAACTGTAAATTTAGCTTTTGACACAGTTGTGCTGTGAGTGATTATTATACGATTATAAAATGCTTTTGTTAACTGACCCTCTGAGGGAGCCTGTTTGTTCGTTTGCACGCTGACTGTTCACTCTGTGAAGGTGAGGACCGCTGGCTGTGCACGCTGCTCCTGCAGCAGGGCTGGAGAGTGGAGTACAACGCGGCGTCGGACTCCTACACCAACGCTCCTCAGGAGTTCAAGGAGTTCTACAACCAGAGACGCCGCTGGGGTCCATCTACCATGGCCAACACTCTGGACCTCCTGTCCAGCGGCGGCCTGACCGCCGAGAAGAACAAGTCCATATCCAGACTCTACATGCTGTACCAGACCATCACCATGGCTGCCTCCATTCTGGCCCCGGCTACGGTCTGCCTCATGATTGCAGGTGAGAATACTGGACTTCATCATTGTCATTTGGAAGCCGTAAGTGATGGCCTGATATTATGTTGGCTTTACTTCAACTAACTGGCCTTATAAGCTATTATAATTTTTGACGTGCACATGCACCAAAACCATTACATTAGGTGGTTTGTAAGTGCGGCAGCAAACTGTCACTTGCCATATCTGTGGTTGCTTTATTCAGTAATAACTTACACACCATAGACTGAAAAACTGTGACCAGAAGATATTTTATTATGATGTTTTCTTCAACATTTCATAATAAATGATAAGCAATGTATTGGCTGACACTTTACTTGGAGAGCCCACTGTAGATGCTTTGTTAATGCTTCTGATTAGATTTTTTCCCTCACCTTAACTCTGGTCCTACACCTAGCCCTGGTACTAATCCTGACCCTAATACTGTTCCCAATCTCAGCACATGTTTTCTTAATGATTGTAATCTTCGTTTTGTGAAATGTACAGAATTAATTTTTTCCACAATAATTCAGAATCCCCACAGGGGGCGCTCAAGTAACATTTTTGTGCAGTATTTAAAGCGCTCCACAAAATATTTGAATGGCACATTCAACAATAATGTTGCAGCACATTCATTATTATTTAAAAATTATATATACTATATATATATATATACTCTGGTCCTACACCTAGCCCTGGTACTAATCCTGACCCTAATACTGTTCCTAGTCTCAGCACATGTGTTCTTAATGATTGTAATCTTCGTTTTGTGAAATGTACAGAATTAATTTTCTCCACAATAATTCAGAATCCCCACAGGGGGCGCTCAAGTAACATTTTTGTGCAGTATTTAAAGCGCTCCACAAAATATTTGAATGGCACATTCAACAATAATGTTGCAGCACATTCATTATTATTAAAAAATTATAAATATATATATATATATATATATATATATATATATATATATATGAGTATCATTTCAATAGTAGCAGTATACACTCATAATTTATTTGTTAGTATTAGTATCAAAATTTTATTAATATTTTATTTTATTTAATATCTTATTCAGTGGCAAATTTAAAAATGGTTAATATAATTTTTGCTCAATGTAACATCATAATTAAATAATTAGTTATGCAAAGAATTACATTTACACTTGATTACAATTCAGTTTCAACAGGTTGATTCTGCACTTCCAACATTTTCAGTTTGTTTCAATATTGTGTTAATAATTCTCAAAAAGTAATCTGCCTCAAGATTTGATCACCTCTTTTCAAATCTGAGGCATTCTACTCATTATATTACATATAATATAGTCAACTTGGTTATGAGCTTCATTTTTTTTTTCCAACTTTTCCTCATTTTTTATAGCTTCTTACAACAAAATGCACAAAACTGGAGTCATATTAATGAAAACATTGAACCCAAATTGTTAAATAGTAATAGAAATAAAGGTATATTTACAATGTTATGAGCAACTTGTGGCCAGAGGCTTATTTTACTCATTTTATATGACAAGTTTGTCAAATGAGGAACCACAAAAGCAATCTGCAGTGGTGAATGCGGTCCCAGCTCTTCAAACATACATGAAAACATAGATATGGACAAAGAACATGTTGCAGAGTTTATCCAAAGTTGTAGACTTTTGCAATAATAACATTCATTTCCACAGATGAGAAAATCTTGGAAGTGTGTATAAGCACTAAGCACAAGGGCCGCAAACCGGCTTTGGATAATGTACAAAAAGCTAACTAACCAGATTATCTGAAATATTTATAATATATAAATCTAATGTATATGCAAATTTGTAATGTGCTTGTTGATACAATGTCTTTTGTCTTGTTTATGTTTTATAGGAAGCTTTAAATTCGTCCTGAAGATAGATGCCAATTTCGCCCTTGTGCTGGCCATTGTTCCTCCTGTTATCTACATGATCATCTGCTTCTACCTGGGCCACACGAAATCGGACACACAAATCACCATCGCCGCCATCATGAGCGTTATCTACGCTTTTCTGATGACTGCAACTCTGCTGTCTATTATAGGTGGGTTTTTGTTGTGAACTAGTGTAATACTGTAACAGCGTTCATGCTGTTTGTATGTTGTGTGATGTAATGGTGCGTTTGGATTGGAGTAATCGTGCACATCCTCGGCCTCCTAGGTGTAAATGTGTTAAAGCAGTAGTTCATATAGTTTTTAATGGAATATTTTAGACCCTGGACCAAAGTAGGACACTGTTTTTCACTGTAAGCTTAAATGCATCTGCAGTACATAAAATCCAAATGTAGATATCAAAACATTTAAACACATTTGACTGATTTAATAGCAATTATGAACTGAAGTGGCTTATTATCTTTAAAAACAAGAGATGAAGAGAGGACTTTAGCACGGTCCCCGCTCTCAGTAACCACGTACCACTTTTTATTACATCATCTCTCCACTGATTGGGGGTGGCCAGTGCCACCTTGCCATGAAGCCACTCTTCTGACCACCGGAGTGAAATAAAGTGAAACGGTCAGCTATCATCCAAGAATCTGTCACCACAGAAAAATTCTACCACTTTGTTTGAACAGTTTTATGGTGAAAATCTGCCATTAGGACAGTTACCAATCAGTTATGATTGGACGCTACACTCGATAATCAATGCATCTCACAGGCCAGCGAACGCTGCTCAAAACCTCAATGTTCTTCCTTTTCTTTTGGCTTAACGAAGCAGTTAATATTGGCTTTCTACATCAGGGAAACATTCCAAGCACCTAAATCTGTGGGTCACAGTATTTTTGTTACACATTGTGATACTCTAACATTAACGTTACTGTAACTGAAGATTTTAACAGTGTTCAGCAGGGAGTAGAAATAAATCAGGGAACAGAACATTCCGTAACGTAAAGAAAAAACAGGATAAAATCACTTTCAGTTTTTCTAAAAGTTAAAAATGTCATTAACCTGTTATTAATACTGGTATTTTGTTGATGTTAATATAACCACAGTAATAATTTGCCCAGTACACTTCAGCAGTGCTGCCCTGTGAGCTACATTATATGAAGTTCACACTTAATAGACATGGTCCTTCAACGGTTCTTTAGTAAAGAAAATGGTTCCATGTATGACCATGAACACTCAAATAACCCTTTGTATGTTTATAGGGTTCTAAACATTGAAAATGGGGACCTCAGACCCCAACACCACTCAAGGGTTAAGTGCTTCACATGGAGAAAAAACAGTAAATAATTCTCAAAAAAATAAAACAACTATAAAAATAAATAATTGATAACTGTACAGTAAGTGAAACTAAGAACTTAAGCTCAGAAAATAAACTTTTAAAAATAGAAAATACAGTAAATAATTATTTATAAAGTGTCCAGTAATACAAGACATATAAAAACTAGACTAAAACTGAAGTGAAAAGAAACTTTTACATTTGATAACTGTGGATCCCCCTTCTTTCGTGTTTTCTTCTTGGAACAGAAATTAATCCTGGATCTGATGATCTTAGATGTAGCTGTGGAGCATGTTCATGTACTAGTTCACTAAAATCTAATTTACACAGTTTCCCGCTTACCTCAGATGCAGTCGTTCAACCAAGATGGGCAGTCCTGCAGCCCAAAATCCGTTTGCTGAAGAAAAAAGGAAACTTTTCTAGGGAAATACAGTGAAATACATCCTTCTACTTTTCAAAATTAAAGGAAAGTTCTGGGCGAGTGATTAGAAACTATCTTCATGTTTTGTTTTTAATTGTTTATCTACATTCACACCCATTCATTGAGGACTTGCTCGCAGGTGTTTTCCAGTCATGTGTTTGATATAATGAGGGAAATAGGAAGGGGCCAGATTCCTCATAAACCAGCTCTGGTATTGACAAGAAGTTAAAGAATATAGTTGTTTATCTGTGTTTGTTCAGGGGACATGGTGGATCAGAACACCTTCATGATACCAAGTGGCTTGTTTTTCATCGGCATCACGGCCATGTACGTCTTCACCGCTCTTCTTCATCCTCACGAGTTCCACCTCATCATCTACGGCCTCCTCTACGTCATCTGCATTCCCAGCGGCTACCTCCTGTTGATCATCTACTCCATGGTCAACATGAACAACGTGTCCTGGGGCACTCGGGAGTCCGGCGCTCAGGCCGTCGCGGCGCCCACCAAGACGAACCAGAAGAACGTCAAGTGCCAGAAGCTGCTGAAGGTCTGCGGCTACAGCCTGCAGATTCAGGTCAGCGAAGAAGTGAAGGTGGTGAGCACTGTACCTCTGAACAACGTCTCGCAGGTCACAGGTGGAAGTGCCCCTGAAGCAGCTACTGAAGTGCCCACCCAGCAGGAAGAAAAGTACATTTCTATAGCTAACCTGTTTTTCCATATCTTTTCTGCTGCAATGCTATGGTTTAAGAGAAAAATAACGTATACCGTCTTGCTTTTTCAGAGGAACACCTGTCATTACGAACTGTGAGTATCTCTCTCTCTCTCTCTCTCTCTCTCTCTCTCTCTCTCTCTCTTTTGGCTTAAACTCTTTGGTTTAATGCATTTAATAAGGACAGACATTCCACAAATGAACACTTAGTAATTATGGATGACAATATTGTAGTTGAACTTTTTCTAACCCCAAGGATGATTATTTCTGGCCAAACATATAACTGTAGTATAAATATATAAATATATATTTTTTTAAAGAAGAATTCCGCTGATTTTTTTCAACATTTCTACATAATTCAGTATTTGACTTAAATACTGTCATAAATATAGTCATCTGTGATTTCTTTTTACAGTGGTGGTGATAGGAACCAAAGGTCCCAGTGTCTATAATGCAAATAGAGGCATTTTATTTACTATCCAAAACCACCAGCAAACCTACACGTGCCTTCTGAGTCTTTATATAACGTTAATGATGATAAAATAGTTGTAAATCTCAAAAATAACTCTTTTTCTGTGGTACTGTTTTACCTTATAACACCCTGCATCTACACCCCCACCATGAATGCACTTTAAAAATACATTTTAGTCCAAAATCTTCTCTCAAATACAGTGTTTTGGGCGTCAGGCAGCCTTTTCATAACCATCACATGTAGTAACTTTCTGTGAGGGAGCTTTTAGAGGTGGACATCTGGTTCCTGTCACCACCACTGTGAATGGTTCCGACTCTAGAACGGAGAGTTTCACACCAAATCACTCTGTTTACATCTTAACCACTTAATTATGCTGAAATTTGTAGAATTGCTCTTTAAGCATGTATAACCACCAATTTTTAAAATAAAAATAGGCTTCATCACACAGCTGAAGGAAAGCTCTGGTGAACTGCCCCTCAAGGAGGACTGTCTTAATGAGGTGGGTTTTTAAATATGCATGCATATTAGTTATCTGATGAGGGACAACATACTGTCGAGAGTTAAAGGCTGCCTACTGGTGTAACAACACCAGTCTAACTAGCAGTATAAGTTTTATACAGCAAACAGGATTTGGTTAGATTTAATGGGTTAACTACAAGATAACAGTTCTCTTGTCCCTAGAGTGATGAAAAAATGTGATTTTAAATCATTTCTGTCCTGATAACAATCTCAGTGTCTTCCAAAATGATGCTGACCTGACCCACAGGACTCATTTATTCAAGTGCTTCTGTCATTTTGGACATTCCTTTATGGGAGTTCAATAAAACAGTTCAGCAAAATGGGTTACTTTAAAAAAGCACTTAGTGGTGGGTGATATTGCACGCATATATCACCACAATACTTAAAGATATTGTCATGATACACAACATGCTTTATGATATTAAATTTTTCTGACGTTTGACAAGTTGGAACAAACAGAATGAGCCAGTAAACCACACTTACCCTCAAAATACTATCGAAAACTACAAATATAATTTTTTTTTTTAACATTATTTTTTATTTGTGGGTCTATGCAGATACAAGATTACAGACACTTGTATACATTCCACATTTTACATCATAACATGAACTAAAACAATATTAGAAAAAAAGGAATGAATAAATATATATTCATATAGTAATGATTAGGTCAGGAAGTACTGGTACCTTGTACATTATTTGACTATTAATTATCTTGGGAAGAAAACAAACAGATACAGAATACAAATAGGATCATGTTACTGTACCTATAGATATTGAGATTGTAGTTATTTAAGCTAAAGAGTAACAAGAGGAGGGGGGTGCTAGTTAGTGGGGAGGCATTTCAGCTTCTCGAAATATGCAGTCATGGGATCTCAAGTTCTATGGAATGTTACAGACGCCTTTCTAGATGAAAACGTAATCTTTTCTAATTTAAGGAGGAACATAAGATTGCAGAGCCACTGTGAGATCTTTGGTGGATACAGTGATTTCCAATTAATCAATATCTTCCTCCTTGCTAGAAGGGAAGCAAAGGCCAAGGCCCCCTTAATCCTATTTGGAATTGTTTGAATCTGTGTTAACCATCCCAAATAACCCAAATAAACATAATTCAAAACTTGGCACAATATGTAGATCAAATACTTCTGATAAACAGTAATTGCCAATCTTGACAAAAAATCTTGACTAAAATAATCATTTTTACTGAACATTTCACAAACCACACAGAACTAAACAGGACTATTTACATCTCTTTGAAATGAAACATGCAAGAACAACGGTCACTGTTCTTTAGATACTGTTGATATCAACGATATCAATGATATGCTCAAAAAAGCATACAGATACAGCTACAAACCATCACTATTACAGCTAAACCTTCAGTTAATAATAAAAGTCAAAACTCTGTCCAATTGGACACATTTCCACAATTTAACCAGTTTGTTGGTTTGTTGACTTAACAACAAAATATGAATACTAGTACTACAGTACAGCAGAGATTAAAAACAATAACAATGATGGTTATATTAAACAAAAATTAACAAAAAATTACAAGCTTTTTTTTTATTTCACAGGAATCATTAGGCCTTTTCTGAAGGGTAATCCTCAGTCGTGACATAAAGCGACAAAATTAATCACGAAAACAATAAATTCTGTGATATGGCCCACCTGTTTGGGCTTCAATGCTGGAAAGCAACATCTGCTCACAGACCAATCGGGACTGAGTATTTTGACAATGCTATCAAACAGGGGTGTCAAACTCAACCACTAAAAGGGCCATATTAAAAAATCTTAATAGTTCTGTGGGCCAGAGAACACGTTTTTATTTCATTTTAAATTAACATTGTACTATAAACCAAACTGACCATTGTTTATTCAAAATACACCAAATTGTCAACAACAAAATATAGGCACATGTGGTAGACCTTGAAATAAGACATGAATACTTGAAATATTCAAAATTTAAACATCCCCAGGAGCTCAGTCTTTAAAACCTACCTATTTGCTTAAACTAGACACCTGCCATCCTTTCTTTACTACAAGTTCATTAATACCTGGGCTCAGTTTCTGAGCTGCTGAGCTTACATTAAGTGTTTATGTTGGTTGAACTGCAGCTGAAATGCAGCTAGTGTGTTTGGTGATATCACTGGTGTGAAATTATATAGAACTGTGCAGAATTGTGGTGTAACCGCCATCCCATAGACTGTTACTGGGGGAATATTGCGTTGCAGTGCATGCTGGGGACTGCAGTGCAGCGTGTTGTGAAATAGATTAATATTAATAGAAAATTTAAACACTTTTGCTGGCCGGATAGGATTGTTTCATGGGCCTGATCTGCCCCGCGGGCCTTGTGTTTGACAGCTGTAGAATAACAGAATTTGTTTTGAAACATGAATGGCTTGCGAATAAAGTACCATTTTCTATTCCATTTTAGGAGGAAGAACAGTTTTGGGAGGACCTGATTGAGCAGTACCTGAAACCTCTAGATAGTGACAAAGCAAAGGAGGAGAAAATAAAAGTCGAACTGAAAGACCTGCGCAACAAGGTTAGTGTGTGTTAACAATCAGTTAATAAAAACAGGTCTGCGTTTAGACAGCGTAGATTCCTTTGGCTGTTCAGATCCCACATGCAATACAATGGAAAATGCTAATTAAACGTGCACCAGCGTAACTGCGTATGTCTCATTTTCAGACAACATTTGTGTTCTTCATCTGTAACGCCTTGTGGCTCGTTGCAACCTTCTTCCTGCAAGCCATTGGCACCACAGTGTGCATTAACATCCCGAAACTCTCTGTCAATGGAACTGATACCGGGAGGATCTTCATTGATCCCATTGGCCTGATGTTCCTCATTGGCTTTGCAGGCCTTCTGATCATCCAGTTTTTTGCTATGCTGTGGCACAGGTACCTGAACCATGACTGAACAGGTTTTGAATCATGTTCAGCATTATTAAGTACTTGTATATTGTGTCGTTAAGTACTAAACTGACTTGATTTGTGTATTTTTTTCTTTCCAGAATCCAAACTTTGATCCACTTCATTGCTTATAATGGGACTGAGGCTGTCGTTAACAGGAGAGCAATGAGACAAAATCAGAACATGCCTCTAGATATAAATGTAATGAATCTCCTTTATTTTCACTGTTAGCCTAAGTTGAATTTCAGTACTGTGACATTTAGTGAATGTTTGGTGACAATTTCCGTTCGTTTTTTCAGAACTTTCTGTAGAAAAATCATGGATTGATTGAAAGGTGCCAAGTGGATGTCCCAGAGGAGGAAAAACGTGACGGGGAACGTCTCTACGATGCGGCAAACCTAACATTTATTGTATTAATCACTAAATAGCTCTGAACAAATTAAGATAGAAAGGATTGTTACCAGTACAGACACATAACTTCATGGATATGTAGTGTCTGTGCTATTGCACTTTTCCGTTCAGCATTGTTTACTGTTGTTTTTTCCTTCCTGTCTGTCTTTATTTATCAATATTATTATTGTTAAAACTTTTCTTTCTTTCTATCAGTATATGAAATCATCATTCTTTGAAACTGCCCTGAATATAAACACTATTAAAGTTTCAAAATGTGCCTTTAACTGCCTGGTTCCTGTTTTTTAATTAATTGTTTTTGTGATGTCACAAAAATCCACACATTTACAAACATCTGCGTATTCAGCCAGAATGGCAGTTTGAAGTTAGGAGTGTTTTGTAACGTGACAGAACCACTCAGATGGTCGCAGATAAAAAGAACAAAAAAGGTTTTACTGTTTGAATCATCAATCAAAATCGTTGTCAAGAAACAGGCACAGGTCAAATCCAGAAAAGGCAGCAAGTGAAGACACACAAACATAACAGCAGGCAAACACAATCCAAAAGAGGTCAGGCAAAAAGGGGTCAAAACCAGAAAACACAACACAGGAAATAAATGCTCAGTAGCTCTAGAAAGAAGCAATACCTCGCACTGAACTGTTCTAAAAGCCTGGGCTTTATACTAAAGCTAATGAGAGCTCAACAGGTGTAACAGATCAGTACTCAGGAGAGAGATCTGTGATAGGAGCATGGTGGAAGGTCAGGAGTCATGTGATCTCCCAGAGGATTCTGGGAGATGGAGTCCAAGGAAACCTCTGAGCCATAGGGATGCGTGACATGTTTCAGTTTTGAATGAGGCACAATACAGGTCACCCAATCAGAACTGAGCTCATTTGCGTATGTCTTAAAGGCACAGTAACAACAGTCATTATTTTTGTGATGTCACAAAAACCCACACATTTACAAACATCTGCGTATTCAGCCAAACCAGCAGTTACAAGTTATAAGGAGTGTTTCAGTTTGGGCTGATTTTAGAATGAGGCACAATACAGGTCAGCCAATCCAAACTGAGCTCATTTGCATATATCAGTCTTGAAGGCACAGTAACAACAGTCATTGTTTTATTGTGATGTCACAAAAACCCACACATTCACAGACATTTCCCTTTACCTCTGAGGTTGTGCATCATTTGGTACCACTTTAAAATAGGACTACCCTTATAAAACGTTAATGAATGGTTTAAAATAAGTTTAAAGGTTATTAATGAGGTCTTAAAGACCTTAAAAGCATTAATAAGCATTTACAACACATAAATAAAAAGGGCAACAGTGACCTGTTGTTTGCCTAATAGTGAACCCACATTCATTCACACTATGAAAGCCCAGATTTTCTTACTTTGTTTTACTTTGGCTTCTTCATCAGTCAGCATCAAAACTATCAGCTTTATCACATTCATGTCCATCAACTCAACTCATTATAACTGCTTATTGCTGATTGATTGAGTGTTTATGACCTAATTAATAACCATTAACAAACTAATTTTGAACTATTCATTAAACCTTTATAAAGGTAGTCTTATTTTAGAGTGGTCCACGTCGTTTTATAGTTGATGTCATACCCAAAGAAACTCCAGCTCTCCAGCTAATTTTTCTACAAGAAAAATTAATTGCATTTTATCTGTTATGCATGAAAAAATGCCCCAGAACCAGTAAGTTTTGTCCTGTGTAAATGTCCCCCTGAGTCTTTGGATCATTTTAATTTCGAGGTTTTTAAGTAGTTGAACAGGGTTCGACTCCCCTTTCAGGAAATCTTTTTCCAGGATAATTCCTACAACTTCCATAACACCTCAGCACTTTAAAATTCCAGGACCTTCAATCAGTGGCTTCATTTTTTGCTAAATTAAGTGGATAGGTAGCTAAACCACAATGTACTGTAGTGAAGATTCAGCTTCAGAACCTAACCTCGGTTACTGTGTCATACTTGCACATACGCACACGTAACTTTAATTTTTCTTTCAACCATGCACATATAACTGTACTTCTTTACTTTTTTTTTACTATTGTTTGTAGTGTATTTCTACTTATTCTGTGTGTTTCATTTTTTTTTATATTTCTTTTTATATTTCGTTCCTTCATTCACCAAATTATAGGAACAACAAAGTAAGAATTTCATTGTACAGTGCATCACTCTTCAATCTTGAATCTTGAATCGTGTCGCAGAACTGCCTACTGCCAAAACACGTCACTAGCAGCGCACCTTTCCCAAACAAAAAAAAAAACAAAAACAAAAGTGTGCTTATGTTAAGGGTGATCTGAACTAGTCTTTCTTTGTGTACAAGCATTTTGATTGGATAAAAAGAAACAGTTTAAACATGACATGAGCAGCGCTAGTAGCCTGTTACTGAAGTAATGTTCTTTTTAATTTGAGGGTCCCATTTCGTATGGACGATTTCAACCACTACCCCTTTCTAACTCATTTCCAAGGAGCAAGGTGACACACAAAAACAAGGGGTAGAGATAAAAATAAGATGTGGGATTGGGCCTAAGTGTAAATGACCAACTTAAGTCTGGAAGTGAAGCATGGAGCTGAAATCATTCTTCCCAGTGGGCCATGTGTACAGTTATTTATGTTTCATATTTGACCAGCATTGGACTATTCTGTAGTAAACAATGTACTAAACGAGACACAATCCAAATTATGTTGTCATATTTTATTGTTTATCTGCCCAGACTGTCTATGCATTACAGAGGGGCTGCATTACAGAAACAAAAAGAATTTTCTGTAGTACAACCTCCAACTCCTATCTCTTTAGATGGGAAGAGACCTTTAACTCTCATGTTTCGAAAACAGGTTTGAAATCACTAGTAAATCTGAGAAAAACAGCCTAAATAGGTTGTAGTTTTTTTTCAGCTTGTTTTGGCTGCTGTGCATGCATGTATCTTCAAAAAGAGAAGAAATTTTTCCCACTTACGGCTTTATCAGCAAGCTGATTGGTTCATTTACTGTCTTACAAGCTTTTCCATTCTTTATTCAACCAGTAAACTGGTCTCCTTCTCCTTTATAATGTCTCTGGTAGAGTCCAGCAAAGTTGCTTAGGGCTCAGTGCACTGCCGGCCCGTAGCCCTCCCAGTCTACCAAGTACTGGACGCCACCCCGCACACGGCGGGAGTCCAGGAGGCGGCAGGCCGTGTAAGCCGGGGAGCCAGCAACAAGGAGGGAAGCACCGGCCTTCCACCATGCCCTCCGGCAAAGCTGCAAAAAACTGCTCTGCAGCAGGAACCCCAACCTCGCGCTCCTCCTCAATGAACATGGGCAGAGAAAACCCAAACTGGCATTCAAAGGGTGACATGCCCAGGGACGAATGCCGGAGAGTGTTATGGGCACATTCCGCCCAGGGTAGATACTCCGCCCAAGAGGAGGGGTTGGCGGAGGTCAAGGCGAGTCCAGGCAAGTTCTTTATTGACCCTCTCAGTTTGGCCATTGGACTCTGGGTGGAAGCCGGAGGACAGGCTCACAGAGGCTCCCATGAGCCGGCAGAAGGCCTTCCAAAAATGGCAAGCGAACTGGGGACCCCGGTCAGTCACCAGATCACTAGGCTTCCCATGAGCCCTGACCACGTGCTGTAACAGGAGCTCCGCTGTCTCCTTGGCAGGTGGAAGCTTGGGCAGTGCCACAAACTTACATGCCTTGGAGAAGTGGTCCACAAGGACCAGGATGACCGTGTTGCCTTTGGAGGGGGGGTAGGCCTGTGACAAAGTCCAGGGAGACGTGAGACCATGGACGTGCAGGGATGGGCAGCGGGTGGAGGAGACCTTGGGGCCATGACCAGGGTGCCTTGCAATGTGCACACGTCTCGCAATAAAGGCACGGACGTCTCTCTCCATGCTAGGCCATCAAAATCACCTACACAAAAAGTCCAGGGTCCTAGCCACCCCTGGGTGACCTGAAAATGGGGAGGCATGTCCTGATAGCAGCACTCGTTGCCGCACGGCAGTAGGCACGTACAGCTTACCGGGGGGACCGCCTCCAGGATCGGGCTCCTGCCATAAGGCCTCCCTGATGGCAGCCTCCAGCTCCCAACGGAGTTTGGCCAAGATCCGAGGAACGGGAATAATGGGTTCCGGGGAGGGGTCGGGCCCCAGAGGTGCCCACTGTCTGGACAGAGCATCAGGCTTGGTGTTCTTAGAGTCTGGCCTATAAGACAGCAGAAAATCAAAGCGGCTAAAAAACAGCGCCCAAAGCGTCGGAAGAAGTTGGCAAACCCCAGGAAACATTGGACCAACTGGAGGGAGGTAGGATGGGGCCAGTCCATCACTGCTCTGATCTTGGCCGGGTCCATGCGGAGGTTGCCCTTGGACACCACAAAGCCCAAAAAGGACACCGTAGACATGGAACACTGACTTCTCCAGCTTCACGTATAGGCAGTTCTCCAGCAAAAGTTGCAGGATCCGCCTGACATGCCCAACATGTTCCTCAAGGGACCGGCTGTAAATGAGTATGTCATCGAGGTAGACATACGCATAAAGACACAGGGCTTCTCTGAGGACTTCATTTATGAAGCGCTGGTAACTAGATTCAAGATGGCGCCGAGTATGGCTGCCGTGTTGCGAGCTCCCGCTTACTTTTGCAGTTTTTTGTTGTTTTTGTGTTTGTTTTTAACTCTTTTTGCACTAAATGTTACTGGTTTTATCACCTACGACCGACAAACACTTCTGGAAATCAGATCGTCGATCACTCACCGGAAACCGGACTTTGAGTTCCATAACGCCGATCCTTTGTTTACTAACACTGGAGAGGCGCCACTCATCTGGGCCGCCCGGCCACGCACCCGTCGAAGACGCCGGAAAAGAGGCAAGAGAGCCGGCGTGCTCGTCAGACTCAGACGCCGTGCCCATCGGCCGCCTCTTCCCACCATATTACT